CTCCAGCAAAGTTAATGAGGAACTCAAAGATTGTGCAGTTTCCAATAAAATAAAGATATTGAGAAAAGTCAGAGGATATGATGCATTCCATGATAGTACCAGTATGGATACATCATGAAAGTAACATACGTAAAAAGGTATTGGTTTATGCATTATTGGATGAACAGTCAGATGCATGTTTTATTAAAGAATCCACCATGAATGAGCTAAACATTCTAGGCTCCAAGGTACACCTAAAGTTAACAACAGTGACTGGCGAAGAAACAATTGAAAGTACAAAGACTAGAGGACTAATAGTATGTGGTAAAAATGAAAAGATAGAGATTGCACTTCCAGTCACTTATTCAAGGAAGAATATACCAGCCAGACATGATCAAATTCCAAGGCCAGAAAGTGTAGAAGGGTGGCCTCATTTACAGAGAGTAGCAAACGAATTGATGCCATACGATAGAAGTGTTGAAGTTGGGCTCCTGATTGGCTTAAATTGTATCCGTGCCATCAAACCAAGAGAGTTAATTCCTGGGAAAGATGACGAGCCTTACGCAAGGAGAACTTTGCTTGGTTGGAGTATAATAGGGAGAGTCAATGGTGATTGTCAAGACACAAGTGACTCAGATTCAGTTGTAGCTAGCAAAGTAATAGTCAATAAGGTTATCATTAATGGTGACACAAAATGTAGCTTTCTTTCCTCACCAACTAAAGTAAAGGAAATAATTGATTTTGCACAAGTTCGAAAATTGTTTGAGCTTGATTTCAGTGAAAGGGAGACAGGAAATGTTCCTTTTTCGTATCAAGACAAGATTTTCTTAAGAAAAATGAAAGATGGAATTCATCAACTAAAAGATGGGCATTATGAATTGCCACTCCCTCTTAAAGATGATAAGGTCAAGTTTCCAAATAGTAAAGAATTAGCAATGTGTAGGTTGATGAGTCTAAAGAGGAAGCTAAAGCAAAAGAATGGTTTTCTACAGGACTATGTTGCCTTTATGAAAGATCTCATAGACAAAGGCTATGCAGAAGAGGCACCATACCAGGGTCCAAATTTCAATGATGGAAGAGTATGGTATATACCACATCATGGTGTGTATCATCCAAAGAAACCTGACAAAATTAGGGTAGTATTCGATTGCAGTGCTGTGTATAAGAATGAATCACTTAATAAGAATCTTTTACAAGGTCCGGATCTGACAAATAACTTGATTGGCGTATTGTGCAGATTCAGAAAGGAACATGTAGCAATTGCATGTGATATAGAAGCAATGTTCCACCAAGTAAAGGTAAAGCCTGATCACAGAGACCTACTACGCTTTCTGTGGTGGGAAAATGGAAATCCTGATTCAACTGTCAAAGAATATAGAATGACAGTGCACTTATTTGGGGCTACATCTTCTCCAAGTGTAGCAAGTTTTGCACTGAAAGCCACTGCTGATGATTATGCATGGCAATGTGGAACAGAAGCTGCCTCCTTTGTTAAAAATGAATTTTATGTAGATGATGGGTTAACATCTTTACCTACAACTGCAGAAGCCATAGCTTTAATCAGGAATAGTAAAGCATTATGTTCGAAGGGTGGCTTCAAATTGCACAAGTTCTTGTCAAATAAGAAAGAAGTTCTAGAAGCAATAAGTTTAGAGGAAAAGGCTAAAAGTTTAAAGAACTTAGATCTTTCTAGTGAAGCCTTACCAATAGAGAGAACTTTAGGAGTAGAATGGTGTATAGAATCAGATACGTTCCAGTTCAGAATTAGTATTAATGACAAACCAATAACTAGAAGAGGTATATTGTCAACGGTGAGTTCTGTTTTCGATCCAATGGGTATGGTCTCACCCTTTATATTGATTGGTAAAAGAATACTTCAAACCTTGTGTCAAGATGGAGTAGACTGGGATGATGACATATCAGATAATTTGAAACAACAATGGAGAAGATGGAGAGATGATCTGATTCAGTTGAAAGAGTTATAGATTCCTAGATGCTACAAGCCTGATGTGTTTAGAAAGGTCAAATCATTGGAACTGCATCATTTCTCTGATGCTAGTCAGCATGGTTATGGACAGTGCTCTTATTTAAGGCAAGTAAGTGAGCAGGGACAAGTTCATTGTGCACTTGTCATGTCAAAGTCTAGAGTGACACCATTGAAGCCCATAACTGTTCCTAGGTTAGAACTAACAGCTGCAGTCGTAGCTGTTCGAATTAGCTCTATGTTAAGGAAGGAGTTAGGTTATCAGGAAGTAAAGGAATACTTTTGGACCGATAGCAAAGTCATACTTGGCTACATTTCAAATGAAGCTAAGAGATTCCATGTGTTTGTTGCTAACCGAGTGCAGCATATTAAAGACCACTCCTCTATGGAACAATGGAAATTTGTTGAGTCAGTTAAAATCCTGTTGATTCCACTTCACGTTGATCCTGTATGTAAAGAACCTGATTGAATTATAGTGGAAGTGGGGTGTCCCCGCCAAAGAGCCTATTCAAATATCAAAATTGTATTGTTCCTCAGTAGTATAGATGTTGATTCCACATTTGCTCATATAAGTACAATGTAATTAGAGTTTAAGGTAAATTGTTCATACAATTTAGGGGAGCCATGTTACTGCAGGGACAAAATGTATACTTAGTTATAAACAATCAGTTCCTATGCTTTGTGATATTACTAACATTAGGTTAAGTATGAAATAGATGAGTATACCCTCATATCGTTTTCTAAGGTGTACGACATCTATAGGGCATTTGCATAACTAATCATCATAAACATTGGGAGCCATTTTGTTACTCAGAGAAGCCAAGTGAGGTGTCTGAGGTAATATATCTGCTTATATCTTTGTAATCTTGTGATATATTTTTATATTAGTATAAGTAAATGATCTATTGTTATATAAAGACCTAATTGAAGGAGAATGTAATATGAATATTGAGCTATATTGTGTGAAATAAGAGTTTTATGTCAAGCATGTATTAGTGGAAGATTTGTTCATTTCAGTTTAACGGAGATAATTGGGAAATAATTGGACTAGAAATGGATGGTAATGAATTGCATGTAAAAAGAAGAATTCAAGATGTATCGAAGATGCAATAAAGTACCACAAAAAGATCCCAAGCGTTTCCAGTGAAACCCACCGGTTCTTGGCTCTCTGCAACAGTTAAACTCGTACACCTGTATGAAGTTGAGAAGAGTTAGATTTACTGAGCTGAGTTAAACTCATCCTCATGAGTTCAGGTAAACTCATACACCTGTATGCAGTTGAAATTGGGTTCAGTTAAACTCAGCCCACAACAGATGGATACACTGAGTTACAGTTAAACTCATCGCATCAGTTAAACTCAAGACCTTCTGCATGCAGTTAAACATGCAAAAGTAAAAGATCAGTCCAGAACTACAGTTAAACTCACATCCTCATGAGTTCAGATTCAAGACCTCCTGTAAGCAGCAGTTACATACTTCAGTGGGATGCTCGTGAGAGGATTCACATCTATCAACCCATCTTGCAAGATAATTCAAGGTCAAGAAGGATAGAATAACGGTGTGAATGTTCGTGGGAATCCAAAGGCAAGAGGATAACCTATAAATTACTGGAAGATTTCTGCTCTTTAAAGAAGCTCTTCATTTCTACAGGTCCCAAAGGCTAGTGAACTTTTAACTAATAGGTATAGATTGTGTGTTTTAAGTTCCATATAGGTCAGTAGACAAATAGCAGTTGTAATAATGAGTTCTACTGAAGAAGCTGTAGGTGACCAACCTCAGGTAACTGGGGCCAGTGAGGTAATGAAAGGTGCTAGGAAAAAGGTTTTAACAGAAAAAGGGCGTGAGTATCAAACAACACAGTATATAAAGAGGTTATCATCTGCTAAGCTAGCATGGAAAAAGGTATTATCAGAGATATTACCAAGTCTTGATAGTGTAGTATGCTTGGATCAACTTAATGTTCATAGAAAGGCAGAAGAGTCACAGTTTAAAGAAGTTGTAAATGCCTTTAACTTGTTAATGGAAGTAGATCCAAGTTCTGAGGATGAATTGTTACAAGAGTTAAAGTTTGAGACTGAGGAGCACAATAATTATATGCAAAAAATTGAGAGTAAAATGCATGAGTTAAAACAAGAAACAAATTCAGTAAATTCACAACAAAGTAGATCATCAAAGCACTCCCATTCAACAAAGAGATCTATGCATAATGTTACACAGAATGAAATAATACAAGCAGAATTAGCTAAGCTACAAATTGAGCTTCAGCTTCATAAAAAGGAAACAGAGTATAAGATGTTCGTGATAAATCAACAGAGGATCATGAAAGAAAAAGAATATAAGTACAAAAAGTTTCTTTTTATGAGAAATAGGTTTCCATCTCAAAAAGAAGTAGAGAAAGCCAGTCTAGAAGAAAATCAGATAGAATTGTCTCAAAGTAAAGATCTAGATGATAGTAAAGAACTTCATCTTCACAAATATTTTTTGCTAATGATGTATCAGGTATGGGTGAATTAGAGATAGAGGTGTCTAAATTAGAGAATACCTTCTTAAAAGCAAGTCCAGAGCTTAAGCTACAAGCAAAGAGTTTTGAGCCAAAAAGAGAGTTTCAAGATTTGAATGCATCATTTGGGCAAGGTAGATCAAGTCAACCTATAGACCTTAATGTACTCAAAGATGTATTAAATATTTTATCATCTAAAAGTAAAAGTGAATTGCCTAAACTAGAACCAGAAATTTTCAGTGGAGATTTATTGGAGTTTCCAACCTGGCTTCAAACCTTTGAGATTTTTATAGAATCAAGAGTTACAGAACCTGCAGAGAAACTTTTCTATCTAGGTCACTATACAAGTGGGGAAGCTAAGGCTGCCATTAAAGGACTTCTTCGTATCCCCAAAGAAGAAGCTTATCTTGAGGCTAAAGGTATATTAATAGGATAGGTTTGGAAATAAGTTTATTGTGGCAAATGCTTTTAGAAGTAAATTAAATGAATGGCCAAAGATTTCAAATAAGGATGGTCATGCACTACAGGAAGTGTCAGACTTCTTAAAGAATTGCTTAACAGTAATGAGAACAACAGACTACCTTAATATTTTAAATGATCCTCAAGAAAATGGTAAAATGTTACAGAAGTTATACCCAGCTCTTATAGATAGATGGAATTCTGTAGTTTACAAATGGTCCGCAAGTGATGCAGGTTACCCTCCATTTTCAGTTTTTTGTGAATTTATAGAAGTGGAGGCAAAGAAAGCTCGCCATCCAATCTCATCACAAAATGCAGTAATGACAAGGAATCAGAGTCATAATATCAATGTTTCAATGAGTAGTAAGAAGGGTAAACCAGAATTAAACAAGTCTGGGACAAAAAGGTTTGTGACTAACTCAACAGGTGTAAAAGAAACAAAGGTACATAGAGATGACAGGGGACAAAGTCCAGACAAACCATATTGTAATTTTTGCAAGGCTGATCATGAACTTGATAAATGTAAAGGGTTTAATGGACTTGATAATAAGGCAAAATTTGAATATGTCCAAAAATCATTTCTTTGTAGGGGTTGTTTAAAACATGGCCATATTGTTAAAAACTGCAAAAGAAAGAATATATGCACAGTATGTAAGAGACGTCATCCAACATCTCTTCATGAGGCTATACTTGAAAGAATAAAAGAAAGGGAAGCCTTACTCAAAATGTATAAGGAACAAGGGGCTGGAAATACAGTAACATTGTCAAATGAAACTAATATAAATGAAGACAAGGTAAACTCCAGCAAAGTTAATGAGGAACTCAAAGATAGTGCAGTTTCCAATAAAATAAAGATATTGAGAAAGTCAGAGGATATGATGCATTCCATGATAATACCAGTATGGATACATCATGAAAGTAACATACGTAAAAAGGTATTGGTTTATGCATTATTGGATGAACAGTCAGATGCATGTTTTATTAAAGAATCCACCATGAATGAGCTAAACATTCTAGGCTCCAAGGTACACCTAAAGTTAACAACAGTGACAGGCGAAGAAACAATTGAAAGTACAAAGACTAGAGGACTAATAGTATGTGGTAAAAATGAAAAGATAGAGATTGCACTTCCAGTCACTTATTCAAGGAAGAATATACCAGCCAGACATGATCAAATTCCAAGGCCAGAAAGTGTAGAAGGGTGGCCTCATTTACAGAGAGTAGCAAACGAATTGATGCCATACGATAGAAGTGTTGAAGTTGGGCTCCTGATTGGCTTAAATTGTATCCGTGCCATCAAACCAAGAGAGTTAATTCCTGGGAAAGATGACGAGCCTTATGCAAGGAGAACTTTGCTTGGTTGGAGTATAATAGGGAGAGTCAATGGTGATTGTCAAGACACAAGTGACTCAGATTCAGTTCTAGCTAGCAAAGTAATAGTCAATAAGGTTATCATTAATGGTGACACAAAATGTAGCTTTCTTTCCTCACCAACTAAAGTAAAGGAAATAATTGATTTTGCACAAGTTCGAAAATTGTTTGAGCTTGATTTCAGTGAAAGGGAGACAGGAAATGTTCCTTTTTCGTATCAAGACAAGATTTTCTTAAGAAAAATGAAAGATGGAGTTCATCAACTAAAAGATGGGCATTATGAATTGCCACTCCCTCTTAAAGATGATAAGGTCAAGTTTCCAAATAGTAAAGAATTAGTAATGTGTAGGTTGATGAGTCTAAAGAGGAAGCTAAAGCAAAAGAATGGTTTTCTACAGGACTATGTTGCCTTTATGAAAGATCTCATAGACAAAGGCTATGCAGAAGAGGCACCATACCAGGGTCCAAATTTCAATGATGGAAGAGTATGGTATATACCACATCATGGTGTGTATCATCCAAAGAAACCTGACAAAATTAGGGTAGTATTCGATTGCAGTGCTGTGTATAAGAATGAATCACTTAATAAGAGTCTTTTACAAGGTCCGGATCTGACAAATAACTTGATTGGCGTATTGTGCAGATTCAGAAAGGAACATGTAGCAATTGCATGTGATATAGAAGCAATGTTCCACCAAGTAAAGGTAAAGCCTGATCACAGAGACCTACTACGCTTTCTGTGGTGGGAAAATGGAAATCCTGATTCAACTGTCAAAGAATATAGAATGACAGTGCACTTATTTGGGGCTACATCTTCTCCAAGTGTAGCAAGTTTTGCACTGAAAGCCACTGCTGATGATTATGCATGGCAATGTGGAACAGAAGCCGCCTCCTTTGTTAAAAATGAAATTTATGTAGATGATGGGTTAACATCTTTACCTACAACTGCAGAAGCCATAGCTTTAATCAGGAATAGTAAAGCATTATGTTCGAAGGGTGGCTTCAAATTGCACAAGTTCTTGTCAAATAAGAAAGAAGTTCTAGAAGCAATAAGTTTAGAGGAAAAGGCTAAAAGTTTAAAGAACTTAGATCTCTCTAGTGAAGCCTTACCAATAGAGAGAACTTTAGGAGTAGAATGGTGTATAGAATCAGATACGTTCCAGTTCAGAATTAGTATTAATGACAAACCAATAACTAGAAGAGGTAT